ATCCAATAAGATTCATGTTTATCCTCTCACCAAAATATATTTCAAGCTTTTAATTTAAACCTATTGGTCCAAAATATTTTTGCCTAATTAATTATAAATTAATTTAAACTATCCAAATAAATTAGGTTAGATATTTTTAGGAGGCTCACATTAGGAAATAATTTTCTAAATTACTTAGGAAACTAATTTTCTTTTTAGGTAACTTACTTCCAAATTTGGAATTGACTTTCAAATTAGGAAACTGATTTTTAAAATAGAAAACTTTTTATTTTAGGAAACTTCCATTTTAGGAAACCTTTTTCCAAAATCTTGTTTCTCTTTTATTTTATGAATGCTTAAATTTATGCATGTGACTCATTAATCTATTAGATATGTTGACAATGTATCAAGAATAAAAGAAACCTCTTTTATTTCTTAATACATAAATCAAGATTGGCTTTTAGAAAGACATCATGACTACCTAATTCTCTAAGAAGATTAATTAATCTAAAATTACCTTTCACGAGCATGATTACTAGATAATTCAATTTTCATTTCAATTTATCATGGTGTGATCTCAAACTTGGTTATTAGTCTATTTGATTAGGATCAAAAAAATTTTCTTCGATTCCTAAATGTCTAAGCTCTTAGAGTAAACCAACTATGTTTTATTGGTGTACTCTTACTATAGCCATAAATTTTTTAAGCGAGATATTTATCAAAATACAATGTGATAACTCCTTTAATAGACAAGGAATAACATGTCCTATCTTATTCATCCATCTATCTCCATTAGATTCCTAGTGTAGTCAACGAATCACCCATGTACACCCCTTTATTGGGTCCATCAAAACAGGTGTCAAAGTACATAAAACCTCTAATGAGATAACCGTGATGATTGTAAGTCAAATGACCGGTTGTACTCATCTTTTATGAGATTTTCATAGACTAAACTAAATGGATTCTCATGGCGAGTCAAGTCTAGCGATATGTTCTCTAACATTAATGACCTAAGTGCTTGCTTTAGCATCATCATGAGATCTCCTACTATTATCTTATAGCATGTGTATAGCACTCACAAGTCTAACTGCACATAGTTAATGTCCATTCTTGACAATGCTATGACTTGAGACATTTAATAATATTACTTAAATGTATTAATATTTGTTTCATATCTTTTGATCAATCATTAATGCTAATGCAATGAATATCATATAGACTTCATCTAATTCTAATAAGTAAACATAAATGATAAGAATTAATAGAAAGACTTCTTTTATTGATAAACTAAATGATGTAATATTACAATGTCAAACCTATCCAAACACGATTGGATATTGAGCACTTACACTAACATACATGACTCAAAGATCGATGAATGATAATGGATTTCTAAAACCACTCTCCTCGAGCCATAAGGAGACTAGTGGGTCAAAACCTAGGTGAAGAAACCTTAAATCTTCTTTTGGATTTGAATCTCACCCCTTTCTTGGCATCTTCTCCTATACCTATTATATTAATCTATTTTTTGATTTTATAATTTTCTAATTAGAAACCTTGAGTTGCATTCGAGGAGAGTGATATGAGAAAAAAGGTATATCAAAATAATAAAGACGATAGGACATGCATATCCTATTTTAACCAAAAAATTACAAGCATACATTCTCAAAATCTAGGTCAACTCATCCATACTATTTACCCATGCTTCAATTATATTGATACATATTAAATAACTACTAAAACATTTTTATTTTATGATAATTGTAAATCTATGATGTTTGGTCATTTTATGAAAAAACATAAAATTTCTTAAATTTACTTTTCTAAACCTTGGACTTTAGGCCTTTTAAACTTACTGGATCGGCTTGGCCCTACATCTAGTGCAAGCTCGCGTAAGCTACTAGCCTAGCCTTGCACCTAGCATAGGCTACTAGCTAGTGCCTAGCATTGGCCCAAGCACATGGCCTTGTATACCCACTAGCCAACACCTAATGCTACCATGGCATGCCATAAACGAATGCCTAGTGTTACTCGACATACATACTAGCCACCACCCAATGTTAGCCTTGCGCACGTACTCTTTATTCCAAAAAAAAAATCAATTTTTTTTAATAAAATACCAAAAAAAATACAAATCTATAATCATAATTAATCTTAATTAACAACAATACAATCAAAGATACAATGTGAACTCTAATATCAATTGAAGGAATAATATCCTATAGAGGAGTGACATAAACAACAAAATTGTTTTCTTTTATTTAAAATCCTATAATCAACGTTGAATCATTTAATTATATTAACATATCATTTAGGTCATTACCTTTTAAGGCGTAGTAATAAGGTAGCGGATTGAATCGTCCAAGTGTCCAATCGCTAGTGAAAATCCACGCAAGTTAAACACCAATATAAGAGAAACGACATAAGAACAAGAGTGCTTGCTTTAATTTCTTTATGCTATGAAAATTGCATACTAATTTCTTTTTGTTATGAAAGTTAGTACCTTTCTTTCTGCTATGAATGTTACGCACTTCTCTTTTCTCTAGAGGAAATTTTGGCTAACACTTGTCTCTCTTATATATTGTGTGACTTGATGCATCTTATTCTTTTATAAACCCTATATTAGGTTTAATAATTTTTTTCCAAAAGTTCTTCAAATGCCCCTCCACTTAACATGCACCTCACGAGCCTTCATTTAAGCCTATTGGCTCAACATCTTGGGCGTAATGATTTAACAATTAAATAGACTATACAAATTAGTCGAGCCGAGTATTTTAGGTAGGCCCATTTAAAAAAAATTATTTTCTAAATTATCCTTATTGAATTTTAGGAAAATAATTTTTCTAAAATTCTCTTAAAGCTTAAAGAATTGAAATCAATTATTTCAATTCCCATTTTCTTTCATAATTCTTTACTTCTCTTTATCCGAGTTAATGTTAAGCTTATACATATGACTCAATAGGTTTTTAGATATGTTGGCAATTTATCAAGAAGTAAAAAGTAATTCTTTTATCTCTTGATAAATAAATCAAGATTGACATATAGCAAGGCATCATAACTATCCAATTATCAAGAAGGATTACTTAATTCACAACAATCTTTCATAAGTATGGTTCCCATACAATTCGATCATCGTGTCAATTTATTATAGTGTGATCTTGAACTTGGCTTAGTATCTATTCAATTATGATCACAAAAGTTTTCTTTGATCTCCAAATGTCTTAGTTCTTAAGTGAATCAATCATACTCTATGGGTATACTTTCACTATGACCACAGATTCTTCAATAGATATTTATTAAAGCATAATGTGATAAATCTTTTAGCATATAAGGAATGACATATCCTATATTAGTTATCCATCTATCTCCCTTATATTTTTTATGTATCCAATGAATAGTCCCATATGCAACTCTTTACTCGAGCCCATTATAACGAATTTCAAACCACTCCAATCCTTTAATGAGATAACCATGATAATTTCAAGTCAAATGACTATTTATACCCATCTCATATGAGATTTTCATAGACCATACCAAATGAATTCTCATGACGAATTACATCTAAGTGACATGTTCTTTAATATTATTCATCTATGTGCTTGTTTAGGCTTCACCATGCTAGTAATTATGAGATGTCCTGCTACAATTTTATAGTAAGATCATAGCACACATAAGTCTTACGACATATTATCAATATCCAATTTCGATAATGCCATAACTCGGGATATTTAATGATTTCATTTAAGTGCATTGATATTTGTCTCACATCTATTGATCAATCATCGAAACAATAAACTTCTATCTAATTTAATCAAGTTATAAATAACATTAATTAATAGAAAGATTTCTTTATTACTAAATATGCAATAATATAATATTCAAACCATCTAAAAAGATTAGATTTATTGCACCTACACCAATACTTTGATATTCCAAGCAATCCCTCACTTTGTAGCTCCTTATCTTTAAGAAGCAAGAGCTCTTTTATGCTACATCCTCCTCTAGATAGTTACGGCAGTTGCTTTTGTTCTTTTTGTTGAGCCCATTTTTTATCTTTTCTAACATATGACTTACTCTTCATAATGTTTCATCCATCATTATCATAATCAAAGCCCTTAGAAGTGGACTTTTCTTCATTGATGGATTATTGTAACGACTCGATAAGATACTATCATCCTAGAAAATATGATTTTTTTTTTTTTTGAAATGATGTCATTGTAGTTTTAAGGTCACTCAATCTTATGAAGCACGAAAGCTATGGTTCTAACATTGTGTTACGAGACAATAACCCAAAATTATTCATAGGCCATCTACCAAAGCACCGAGATATTCCTTTTTAATGAAAAATTAGACAAGAAAGAGCTCTTTTTTTACGTCAATAATACAAAAATGATTCATACTATTTCAAATAATTTTGAGTCTATTATATAGAACCTTGTATCCTATAGATCCCATAGTTGGCAAAAATGAGCTGTAAAAATTTCTAATAATTCACTAGTAGGCTTTTTTCTTTCTCAATGACCATAATATCTTTATTCTCCACTTCAATCACTTCCATTTTCATCCAATCAAAAGGCTCAACATTTTCTTCTTCGTTTTGATCATTTATCACGATACTCTTATGGTGGGGTCCTTATAGCTGAGTCCTTTCTCTTTCGTCGGGCTACATGGAGAAATTGGCTTGGCAAAAATTTTTTGCCGCGGACCTTGGCCTTTTTTGGAATCCGGTTTGTTTCATTAGGGTTAGGGTTCTCTGTTTCTACAATGGTGAGAATTTGAACCAATCTATTTTCTATGACTGCAATGTTTTTATTCTCTTTCCTGTAAATGAAAGAATTGATGTTGAGCGACTAGAACGACACGTAATCACATAATCCGTGACATGTCAGGCGCAAAAGCGTGTCCACGTGGACGAAACATCACCTTGTCATCCATTTCTCCCTTCCTTCCTGCCTTTTTTCCATAATTTTTGTCGCAAAAAGGGTGAATCGGTGAGAGCAGAAGACTGAAGAGACTGAATAATGTCAAAATTACTACTACTCCATTCTCCTCACTTCACTGCTCCAACCCACCTCCGTCCTACTACTCTTCTCCTCACTTCAATTCTCTCCAAAAAACCTCCTCATTTCTCCATCTCTCTCCTTCCTCAATCCGCCAAACAATTCCGCAAAATCACTCTCTCATGTTCTCAATCTTCTTTCCTCTCTTCTTCCTCCTCTTCGATTCACTGCAGAACCTTGTCTGTCCGCGCTTTTGATTCTGATGATTCCAAAACCGGTGAAATAGAACAAGAAGAAGAGAAGAAGGAATCGGCGGAGTCTTTTTACGCTAAGAAAAGCGATGAGGATTATCCAAGTGGTGATTTTGATTTCCAGGAAATCGGAGCTTGGAATCGTTTCCTTGTTAAGCTTAAAATGCTTATTGCTTTCCCTTGGGAACGCGTTCGCAAAGGCAGTGTTTTGACTATGAAATTACGCGGCCAGGTAGTAATTATTTTTCGCATTTTTTGCTTTGTTATTATTATTTTAGCTTATGTTTTGCTGTTGTTTTTCAGATATCTGATCAGCTAAAGAGCCGTTTCTCTTCAGGATTGTCATTGCCTCAAATTTGTGAGAATTTTTTAAAAGCAGCTTATGATCCTCGCATTTCGGGTATCTATCTTCATATAGATGGCTTGAATTGTGGGTGGGCTAAAGTTGAAGAAATTCGAAGACACATTTTCAATTTCAAGAAATCAGGTCATTCTAATTTCGTTTCTCAACTGCTTGCTAAATCCCTGTAAATGAATTCTAATATTTTATTATATCTGTAGGTAAATTCGTTGTTGCCTACGTCCCTGCGTGTAGAGAGAAAGAGTATTTTCTTGCCTCTGCCTGTGACGACCTTTATCTCCCACCAAGTGCTTATTTTTCTTTGTATGGGTTGACTGTTCAAGCAGCGTTTCTTGCAGGTTAGTCAACTTAATTTCGTATCTACCAATTACTTGTGAAATTGGAAAAATAATTTATTTCTTGTGGTGCATGTTTTACATACGTAAATGTAAAGATGTAAATGTGTGTGTGAGCACGTAAACTTTCAGTTCGTCATGGATAATCGTTTGTCCTGGAGTGGCTAGAGTTAAATTTATAGTTGATCGGCCATTTTGAAGTCATACCAAGTCTAGATGGAACTGCTTGTCTGTGTTGTTCCTATCATACCTTTTTATAGAATGAGAAATGCATAGTCGGAAGGGATACAAAAGTGCAATCCTCACTATGCATGTGGAAACTTCAGGCAAGTAATTGAAAATCAGAAGTGCGGTTGTAGAATTGTTCCACATGCTCGGTATGAATTGCACAATCACATCACTTGCAATTGTGCATACTACTGAGTCTCACTACTGGAAGGTCGCCATTGAAAATGAGAGGTGCTCTAGGTGATAACTATTTTATTGGTTGATCAGGGTTATTTTTCATAATTTCCTGTTTTTATTTTCTGCCTATTGAGTGCTCCAAGGGGGAGAAAATCAGTTAGCTGATTTAACTGCCCAACCAGTTGAGGCTGCTTTGGGCCTTACCGTTATGCTACAACTTGTCTGCTAGTGCAAAAAGCCACTCCTACCATCCCTGTAGCAGGAGAGATGCCTTTCCTGAAAACCAGGAAAATGATTTTTTGCGTTAGTTAAGATGCCCCTTGGATGCATTTAAGAAAGGACAATTGCCCTGTGTTTCCTTACAAATTCTTCACAGCAACCTTAAGTTGATACTTACTGATTGCACTTCAATGTACTGATCCTTGAAACCAGTCAAATCTCTACTGGGACATAAGGCCACTAGAATTGTTCTATTTTAAAAGAATAGATAGCAAGCCACAAGCTTAAATGTGCAACAGTAATCAACAAAGTTGACAAAAAAGATTAGCCAGATAGCAAAAACAAATTTCTGGCGAGAGGTGATTGCTTTAGAACCTGAAGTTGGTTAAGACATAGAAAACAATACCTTTCTTGCATAATATGCACTAAATTAAAATAAAAGAAAGAACCGGAGCAGAATAGGGATAGAGTTTTGCCACATTGTGCCTCTATTATCAATGGCAATTGACAAGGAGAGCACTGCAAATGATGGTAAGTTGGGGCATATGGGCATAGAAAAAGAATTGAGGGGAACTGGATTATGACATAATCAAAAGTAAAGAGACCAACAGACTTTATACTATTCTTTTGCAGGTGTTTTTGAGAACGTAGGAATTCAACCAGAAGTTCAAAGGATTGGTAAATATAAAAGTGCTGGGGATCAACTTACACGAAAAAGTATGTCTGAAGAAAATTGTGAGATGCTGACTGCAATTCTTGATAACATCTATGGGAATTGGCTGGATAAAGTTTCTTCAACAAAAGGTTCTTTTATCTTGGGGTCGACTATGTTGTATTAATTCAAATAAACGCAGCAAAGCCTTGGCTCCAATCATTTGGCTCAAGCTTATGGTTCTAACTATAAATTGATGGGCTTCTACAAACTCTGTATCAGGAAAGAAAATAGAAGATATTGAGAACTTAATTAATGAAGGAGTCTACAAGGTAGAAAGGCTGAAAGAAGAGGGCTTGATAACAAACACACACTATGATGATGAGGTACAGACTTTATCTTTTTTTTGTGTTTTTTCTCAAATGTGAGACAAGTATACTCAAAAGAATCAGTTCCCACTAAACCTTTGCATCATTCCAAATTCATAGATATTTGGTAGAGTAAGACTGCCTTTTCTTCTTGGAGGCTAAGCGATTCTTTCTTTTCCCCCATAGTAGTATTAAAGTTTGTCTGGAATCGCCTAAGGAAAAAGAGCATGTTCTTGTTACATTTGACTTATCTCAGGAAAGAAATTTGCCAAAAGCACAATCCTGACGAGCAAGGCATTTAAGAGCAGATTTATTATTTCTGTGTTCGTCTCCTCAGGATTCAGTCTCTCTATCTCCAGATGCTCTTTGGTGCTGCCTCTTCGAGTAGTCCTGCCTACTATTGAAAAAAGAAATTCTTAATAATGTTTTATTAATTCACATTTCTGTGAATAACACTGTAGGTTGCTCCTAGAAATATGTTTCCCATAAACAACTTCTAAGTAAACAAAAATGAAGGGCTTTTAAGCCATTCGAAATTTCTTACTAAACTTATTTGGTGAGCTAAATGTGGCAGGTTGGTATATTTATGTGATAGAATTTTGATGCTGTCTTAGTAATACACGAATCATGCACAGGTTATCTCAATGTTGAAAGAGAGAGTTGGAGCGCAAAAGGATAAAGTTCTTCCTACAGTTGATTACAAGTAATCAACTTCTTATCAACAGCCTAAAGTATCTTAAAACTTGCATCTTCTGGGTTACATTGTCTTCCTTGTTTTGTCTTTCTGTGAAATTCAATTTACTAGACAATCATCTTATCTCAAATTGCAGTTTATATGATCTTTGACTTCAAATTATCATTCCAGCTATGGGTTGGTTCAACTGATGTCAAATGCATCATGCGAGCTCAGCATTTGCAATTTTTTTTTCTTTTTTAATTTTTTACAGGCAGGAAAAAAAAAAAAAAAAAACCTGTGCTCTAATGTCTTGCTGATATAGACCCTCACATTTCAAGGAAACTCATGTCAAAACCTTTTGTTGCATAACTTTGAACAATTTACAATATTTATGCATATAAAAGTTGAGGAACTACATCTTCTTTTGTTCCATTTATACCATGCGAATCATCTTTCGAGATGCAGTTTATGGTCCTATCTAAAGTTTTGTATTTTCTTGGTGAAATATTTCAGCTGTATGCACTCTACACATTTGAAACTTCTCTTTTCAGGTTGTTAGATACCTATTGTTACTTGCAGTTCCCATTTCAGAAATCTCTTCTCATGTTCTCTTTAATAGCATATTTACTACCATGTTCTTTGCTTCTTAGAGTGATCTTTTACTTGGTTTACTATCACTATCAATTGTACTGATGCCATCTCTTGCAAGTTGAAAGTGCCTCCCAAACTCATGTAAGATCCCTTTCCTATTATAAATGCAGAAAATACTCGCGAGTTAGGAACTGGACTCTTGGTTTAACAGGAGGCAGAGACCTAATTGCTGTTATCAGAGCCTCTGGTAGCATTAGTCGTGTGCGGAGTCCATTAAGCTTATCTGGTTCTGGTATCATCGGGGAACAGTTCATCGAGAAGATTCGTCAAGTAAGAGGTACACTTAACCTGTGTTCTCATTTGTGGAGAGACATTTGTATCAACTCCACATCCTTTCTTTGATTAAGACATAATGCAATCAAATGATGTTAGATTTGCACGATTTCATCAGCATTACAGGAAACAAACAGTTCTATGTTTATGCTTTATGTAGAATCATGTTTGCAGTTAGCATGTATAGGTATGCAGGAAGAACCACAAACATTGAAGCTGCAGGAACAGTTGGTTGCTTCTACTCAGGATTTGCTAGCAAACCAATTGTTCCTTGTAATCTTTCACAAAATTTTCAGTAAAAATAAAAAAAGAAGACAATATACGTTACTGTTAATTTTGCATGTTTGTTATCAGCATTTTGGATTTTCAATTATACGAGTTTTTCTGTACAGTGAATACTGTTTTCTCTCTTCCTTTTAATTTTTTTTTTTTTTTAATTTTCCTAGAGTCGAATAAATATAAAGCTGCTATCATCCGAATTGACAGCCCTGGAGGTGATGCCCTTGCATCTGATTTGTAAGTGTTGCTATATTATACATTATAATATGTGTTAAGCTGATATGTATCACCTTCAGTGCGAGAAAAGTTCTTATCAAGTTATACATAAGCTTTCTCAGTGATAAAAGAAAGTTTTCTGGTGCAAGTATGATTAATTTTCTTACGGTTATATTCCAAGCATTGGATGCATGAACAAATCCTTCTAGACTGTTTAGATATCTGTTCTTTTAATTGAAGAAGAAATTTTATGAAGAAAGAGATGGGAGAACAATATGGAGGCTCCAGACTAGTAGGATTCACAATACAATATCTTCTTGTATCATGTCAAGATCTTGTCTACAAATTTTAGTAACAGTCTGTCTTAAAGAAGGCTGGAAAATCCCTCTGCCAAAGTAACCGAGTATATTTTTTAAAAAAAGATGTTGGTAGTTCTCTCCATCCTAGAACACTAGATCATGACATGCATAGCACCTTGCTTTCTGTCTCTCTCTTTCCCAGTATCCATGAAAACTACCCTGGCACAACACACATCCTAAAACAATATCTACAGTATTTCTGTGCTGTTGCAGTTATAAAGTTCTATGAGCAATTAAATGGATGATGCCTCTTTGACAAGCATACCTTGTCACACTGTTTATGCATGACAATTTTCCCTTTTCGTTTATGGAGGAAAAATATATTTAAAATTTATGATGTGTTTGATATGTATACAGGAATATTCAAGAAGTATAAGATATAGTTAGAAGGAATAAGTACTAGTTTAGGCTTTATGTCACTGAATATTGGATCTGCATCCATAGTTTTAAATAACGGCTGTTACACCATTATATAACAGAATTGGGGCATCCTATTTCCATTATTCAGAGTTATGGGTGCCCCTTTGCCATTTCATAGCTATAACAGCATTAACTGTTATATAATGGCGTTAAAAAAAAAAAAACCCTTTCAGACTTTGCTGCTACCATCATCTATAATTTTTGCAGAATTTCAAGTGTATAAAATACAAGAATCGTTTTTAGGGAAGAAAAGGCAGAGAGGGAGGCATTTTTAGGGAAGAAGAAGAGAGAGGCATTTTTTGGGAAGAAGAGACCAGGTCAAGGATTTGTTTTTATGGAAGAAAAAGAGACAAGGCAAGGATTTGCTTTTAGGGAAGAAGAAGAGAGAGGGAGGCAGGTGGTAGAAATGAATTTTAGGTTTAGAAAAAACATACTGGACTGTTGTTTAAACTTAAAAGACTAATATTTTGGGTCATATATAATTAGGCATCTGGGTCCATAATAAAAAAAATAACTTATATCATTCTTATTAGGCCTACTCTTTTTTATTTAAGTAATAATTGGGTTTAGTTTTAGAATTATATATATATATTTTTTTACCTTTTTTTAACTTTGTATAATTTAAAATTTTAATAATTTTGTACTTTTTTTTTATTGCACAAAAAAATAATATTATAAGTCAATTTTCCTCCAATCTAACAACCAATAACTAAAATATAATTTTATTACAACAATTTTTGAATAATAATTTAAAAATTAGGTTAAGTTAAAATTTAATTTTTAACAGTGCAATTATTATTGAATTATAATGGTGTATATATATTTAACTAAAAACTGTTATTATTATGTTTATTTAATAAAAATATTAAATTGACATCTGTTATGAAAATTTATTATGGTTGCTAAATGATTCACAACAATGATAGCTACAACCGTTTTATTTTAACTGTTAAATTCAGCATCCATTATCGCGATGTCGTTACCGTTATTGCAACTGTGACTACTATTTAAAACTATGTCTGCGCCCTGTCAGTTAACGCTAAAGACTAGGACAAATGAACAAAGCAATGAAATAAATGTTTAGTTCCTTTGCTCTGTGTATTGGAAATTAGTTGTATAAGCATAAGTGGGATGTTCCAGACGCCAATCTGGTAACTAAGCATGCTTTCAGCACCTTATATTGCACCAGAATTTTTCTTCCTCTCACAAGATAGGATAATCTTAAATGCATTTCTATCAGCTTGCGTGGTATTTGATTCCCATGTGGCATTGTAAGTAGAGTGTGGAGAAATTTGCCTACAGACTATTTGAGGCGAATCTTTTGTCATTAGGCACGTCAGGATATAGGAGAACTTGTTTGTTTTAGCTAATATGAATCATCTGTTAATAGTTGTTATGGATGTAATAATTTGTCTTTTTGTTACTTCAGGAAAGATGGAAAAAAATTGAAAACAAACAATGAAAGAAAAAACTTCTATTTGCTACTTCTTAATTTGACGTTCTTTGTGTACAGAATGTGGAGGGAAATCAGACTTCTGGCTGATTCAAAACCTGTGATTGCATCAATGTCTGATGTAGCAGCAAGTGGAGGATACTATATGGCAATGGCAGCAGATACCATTGTTGCAGAAAATTTGACCTTAACTGGATCAATCGGAGTTGTTACGGGTTAACCTAATAACCATAATTCTCTGAAATAGATGAAATAATAATATAAAGCTATCCTTGCAAACTGAGGGTGGTTTGGATCACACATTCCTTTATATATTCTTTTGGGTTTCAGTCGTATTTTACTTATGACTTTTGCAGAGGTATTAGTGTAAAAATATTCTAAGCTGGTTGTGTCAATTTAACTTCAGTATTGAGGTTGGGCATTCTTTCAATTAAAATGCTAATATGAAAACCCTGATTTGGCATGTGTTTACAGTAGTTAACAGTAATAATTGCTTTGGCAGGAAAGCAAATAGCAAAATAAAACTGATTTTAAGTTGTTAACTAAAGCCTTTTGGATCTTTTTGTTGGTCTTAGTTCATTGAAATTGTTGCTTGCAGGGAAATTTAACCTCGGAAAACTGTATGAGAAGATTGGCTTCAACAAGGAGATCATATCAAGGGGTAAATATGCTGAGCTCCTTGCAGCAGAACAGCGACCTTTAAGGTGAGAGCTCTTGTGTGTTTCTTGACATAACCATTATGGTACGAGTCTTCTTAAAATACAATTGGATGTTTCCGAGAGTTGAGGATAAAACTAGATTTGAGACAATACGCATTGTTTAAATAGCATTTTTCAACCACCTTGCTAGCATATGATACCTTAAAGGGTTCTTTTCCCCACAGAAGCTCTCAGAGTTTTGCCTCTGCTACCTGCTGGCTTGCCATTTCATTTTATGTGGTATTTGAAGAAAGCTAACTAGTGTTGGATTTTACAGAGCAGATGAAGCTGAACTTTTTGCCAAGTCTGCTCAGAATGCTTATAAGCAATTTCGAGACAAGGCAGCATTTTCAAGATCAATGCCAGTATGTTTGATTTTAATGTTTAATTTTGATGAAATGAAGTTTTTTGAAAAAAAAAATAATAAGAAGGAAGAATTGTTCTTTTGAAAAGTAATGTAAAAGAAAAAATGTGCTACCAGGTGGATAAGATGGAAGACGTTGCACAAGGCAGAGTCTGGACAGGTCAAGATGCAGCTTCACGAGGTTTAGTGGATGCAATTGGTGGGTTTTCTCGTGCTGTTGCTATAGCAAAACAGAAGGCCAACATACCCCAGGACAGACAGGTTAGTCTGAATTTTTACCTTTTTTTTTATAGGTTGGATCCCTGTGTTGGTTAGCACATGTTGAAAGTGCACAAACTAGATTCAAATTGATTACCATAAGGTCTCAGTGAGATTCTCCATGATGCCAAACCTTCTGCATGTCATCCACTTGTATTTTAGGCCCCCAGACAAAGGGCTTAATGCAAATAAGGTCTCCTTGACAGCCCTTTCTTGAGAAAATTCTATATGTACAGCGCAATTGCCCACCAGCTTCTGTGACATTGTTCAATTTTTTTTAATCAATGTGGCAGTTAATTGCCCATGGCCTACCACATCAACAGTCATTAGGATCTCTAATATTCATCTCCCAAATACCTTCTTTAACAGCAAGCAATCGAGTATTAGGATCTATAATCAATGGCAGTCATTAAAGATGTCATTGGTCTAGGTCTAGAAGTCTTGTTACCTACGAGAAATGTGCAACTAACAGTTCTTTTACTTTTCCTTAGGTTATTTTATTGTCAAAATTTGGATCATGTTTGACTAAAATATAATGGGCATGTGTTCGAATCTTAAGTAAGATCCAACCTGACTATTGCTTGCATTGTGTAGGTAACTCTGGTTGAACTATCTAGACCCTCTCCCACGCTACCAGAGATCTTAAGTGGAATAGGAAGTTCCGTAGTTGGTGTAGAAAGAACTTTAAAAGAACTGCTACAAGACTTGGCATTTTCCAATGGAGTTCATGCCCGGATGGATGGTATTCTATTCCAGAGACTGGAGGAGGCTTCTTATGCAAATCCTATCTTAACCTTGATAAAAGATTGCCTTGGTTCTCTCTGACCCTGCAGGGCTACCTTGGTCCACGATTATGTTAGAGCTGATCATGTCCATGATCCTCCTATAAAGGGTCTGTTGTTGATTGAAGGATAGCTGAACCATTTATATGGAAGGGTTTACAGATCTTATGAAATCAGGTTCATCCAACTCTCTCTATATTGGGGGTTGGGATCAACAGATGTTTGTATACAGGGGAACCTATCTTGGTTGGATTGGCAATGCGGACTGCGGAGGTTTGCTGTATCTTTTTGTTTTTTTTTACTCCTCACGGGCCACTGTAAAGAACTTCGTTTCATTTTCAAGTTATAGAAGAATCTAAGATCAGAGCTTCCCGTTTCCCCGGGATCGCTTGTGCTGATAGTAAAAATATATCAGCACATAAAAATCATTTCTATTTCCTCAGGGACCAACATTTATTAGTCGCTTTCTTTTTCGTATTGCTAGTTATGCAGAAGCCTTGTTATCGGAACTCTCATATATATATATATATATATATATATATATATTAGGAATAATTTTTTATTAAAATCGAAAGCTTGTTACAAAATTTAGTTGAAATTTTGCTTCAATTGAAAGTTAAATATTTTAACTTATTGACTTGTGGATTCTGATTCATACTATTTATTTAAAAAAAAAAAAAAAATTGTTTGGAGTCATTGTTGCCAAACATTTTATTCCATATTTTTTGTATATGCATGTTTTTTAAAAAAAAAAAAATTATGATTCATAGTCAAAAGTAATTTTTTAAAAAAATATATTATATTAACAAAATGTTGGCATATATCTATCTTCAATTTGTATAAAGATAGTAAGACGGATGTATTGACATGATTTTCAGTAACTGGCCATTCTTCTGTAGCCCTTTATGTGCTTGTTTTCTTGCGTTGGAGTGTTTGTTATTCTTGTGTTATAATTTTGCTTTTTTAAAAAAATTGTTTAGATTGTGCTTTTATTGCTACTAAAAATTTTTTATTCTTTAATTATTTGTACATCGCTTTGCCGTTGGTCATTTTGCCCTTTTAAAGTAGGATATTTTCAATGTTTTTATCTATCTCTTGCTTGTTAAGAGTTCATCTTCTATTGATTTTGGAGGAAGTTTCATCAGCTTTACCGGGACAGACTGCTTGGACTTAGTGCGTGTGTTGGACTTAATAAATGGCATTTCCTTAAATAAAAAATCCAATAGGCTTTTAAGTGAGACAAATCAAGCATATTCAAGGAGAATCAATGGTACTTTTCTCTACTTCAATGCCTCTGTTGTGGATTCAAAATCCAAAGAAGTTGAATGCAGAGACTCTAAAAGCACATTTTAGTGGATTGAGCTCCATTTGCACTTTCTCATTCTTAAGAAAGCAACTTTTATGTCATCTCCATGCTTTTATTGATCTTTTGACTTTACCATAATATTGTTAAGTACACTTTCATGTTTTTGCTAATTAAGTCACAAAATATTGTATTCATCGCTCTTTGGTATGTGGCTCTAGTGTTCTTCAACCCAAATAGCATCATCATCCATTCATAAGCTCCAAACGCACTTGGTCATTTAAATCATTCATGTAAGGAAGCTACTTGGGAGGCCGAAGAGGAAATGAAAGGCAAATATTTATATCTTTTTGGTGATGAGGTATACTTGCTTCTCTTAAATTTAAGGATGAATTTCTATTAAGGATGGAAGAATGTGATAATCGAGTTTATGTTTACTTTAAAGCTTTCTTCATGCATGCTAACATGCTTGTGATTGAAACATGCTTTTATGTATGATGTGTTTATTGATTGGGCTTGTGTGGGATGTTTTGGTGCCCAATACATATTTATATGTGTTTTAGAGATTAAGAAAGAATAGGAATGCAGTTGAACTAAATAAAGTAAGGTATTTAGGAGATTGAGGAAGATTAAGGACACAATCGAAGTAAGTAAAGTTAGAACACTAGAATAAATGAGACCAATTAACCTATGGACCAAATTATTAAAATAAAACTAAAAATCACCTTTTCGGGAGGTGCGATCGGTGTAGATCAAAGTAAGCTTTCATTCCTAAATTTTATTTCATTCTAAGCCTTCTTCTTCTTCTCTAAATAGATGTTAAAAAAAAAAAAAAAAAAAAAAAGCCTCCACACACCACGACATGAAAATCCTTCACCAAGTACCTTAGAGAGGAAATCGTTTGTCTTGAATCTTTGAGTAAAATCTTTATTATTGCTTAGAGTTATTGATTTAAGGGTGATAAAAGCTTGCTAGAATTTTGGAACATCAAGGTGAGTGTGTCTATGATGATTTTAATTGGTTAAATGTTCTTGTAACCACTTGTATTCATGGATTTTGAGTTAGATTTTAGGTTGTGTTCTTAAACTATAATTCGGGGTTTACTTGTTTCAATTTTTATGATAGGATTTGATAATGATAATTATATGATTAATTAGGAAGTTATTAATTTATTAAAAGAGTGGGTAAGTACGAAACATGAATTGGAAGTTAGAAATCGGGTATGTTAGAATCAGTGTTCTAAAAGATTAGGTTCGAACGAATTTTGTATTGTTTGTTCATAAATCTTAGAATGATTTTTAGGTAAATCTATAAGAATGAAAGTTGTTGATATATGTCTCTTGTAAGTCTATGTTAAATGATTTTATTATTAGTTTTGTATATAAAGAGTTATACCCGTTTAAGTGTAGACTATTCTAGATAACCTACTATTGGACATATTAGTTCTTAAACTTTAAAATTATAGTATTAATCTTGTATTTGATATTTTGATCTAGTTTTTGGATATGTGTTGAATTTCTATGTCTAGTTTTTAATTCAATAAACAATTTAGAAAAAGATGTCTAGAACTTAAACCATGTTTGAAACACTATGAGTTATTTAAGTAGTGTTTAAGATGCTTGTGTAGGAAAAGTAAGTCTTATGCTTGTGATTATTGAATTGTTATTTGTTAGCTAAAGGCTTATATTAAGATATGTTTGATTTATTGTTTATATAGATACGGAGGATCGAGATACTTAAGGAGCCTAGTGATTGTGTTGTTTTGGATATCTATAACTTGTGAGTGGTTTATATGTAATTTGATAATATGTTAGAAATCTCATTCATTTATTTAAGTGAATATTAACTTAGACATGCGAATGAATAGGTGCTATTACACTATAACGATGTATTGATATGACATTTTGTTGAAGATGATTATCACTTTGGGAACCTCATCACAAGATTGGTGTGACCACCGATATCAATGAAGGAGGAAAAAAAGTATTGAGGTTATGTACCAATGAGGTTGAGTGCTAATAAGACTATGTGCCAATAAGGTTATGTGCTAAAAAGAGAATGAATCAGCTAAGGGCCAAAAATAAGTTGAAAATTTATGTACGTACTAAAAGATGGTGACAATAGTCACGCAACTTATGTGTTTATATTTTATTCTAATATCACAAATGTTTGTCCGAATGGAATGAATAAATTTATATTTTTGATTGAGCATGCATTAAGATTATATACATTGAGAATGTTGAGAATTGATGATGTTGTGTGTGGAGTTTAAATGTTACATGAGAATGGTTGACAATCATGTTATCGGATTGTATATAATCTTCTCACCGAGCAAGTTGAAAGGCTTATTTGTTTAAATGGAATGAATAAATTTATATTTTTGATTGAGCACGCATTAAGATTATACATTGAGAATATTGAGAATTGATGATGTTATGTGTGGAGTTTAAATGTTACTTGAGAACGGTTGACAATCATGTTATCGGATTGTATATAATCTTCTCACTAAGCAAGTTGAAAGGCTTACACCACCACGGCTATAATTTTATAGGTTTTGGATTCAAGAGCTCATTGGTTACTTAGCTTATCCTTTTATTCAAACAACTTATGCATGTTGTTGGCATATTTTAAAGTCAGCCACTCTAAAGCTTTACAAATTCCACCAACCCGGGTCTAGTTTATAGATACTTGATCATGTATAGAGTTTGTTAAAAATGTATGTGTAGTTTATTACTTTTGGTTGTATAAGACGGATCGAGAGTTTAATAGTTATAATTAAATCTTGTATTTTTGTTTTCATTTATATAAATTATAAGATGAGTTTGCTTTTATGAATTGGTAATATACATGAAAATAAGTATCAAAGTACTTCAAGTTGGAATGAGCCTAGTGAATGACTTGAAAAAAATGTAATTCTTATCATAAATAGGTTAAAGTATTGTACCTCGAGAGATTTGACTTGGTGAATTTTGGGTTGTGACACTAGTCCATTTTCCAACTACATGATATCATCTAGTAATATCTCAATACTTCTACTCATATGGAAAAATACATTCCAATTCCATACCCTCAAATTTCATCATGTATATCTTATCTTTTGATGAAGAATTGATAGTGGTAAACCCTAAAAACAAGATCAGTCCATACCTTTTGCACAAATGTTAGAAAATCTAGATGTTCTAGCCATATACATTAGAACTTAAAAGTGGAGTGCCTTATTTTAGTACGCAAATTTTAACAATAAAGGACGGTGATCAAAGTTATCCTTGGTCGGATGTTCCATTATAAAAGGAGGAGGAGGAAATCTTGAATTGATCATCAACTAAAACTTTATCAATTCATTTCACATATACAAGCCTCCCCTGTCTTGTTATTGCACCATGTGAATCTCTTCCCATATAACTTACTTCATCTATTCCAATCTAACTACAATAACCATCACAATAACTTATCCCTTGAATGTCCATATATCTACCTCCACTTTTTTCTTGAAATATTTGAAATGATATTGAAATCCCTTTTATCGGGGAAGGTTCTAGAATTGGGATGAAATGCAAATCGGATCACTCCATAACTCTTATCGCTCAAGTCTACTACACTTCACATACATAAAGAAACATGAAACTTGAAGCCAATCAAAGCATCGAAACTTAAAAGTAACATGTTGTGACCCGAGCTTTTATGTACAAAATGTACATCCACTAAATAGTTTCAAAAAACCCATATATGATTGTTAATCG